TAAATGGTCATCTGAACACTGTTTTATCCTTCATATCCAGATATTTTAAGATTTCATTATCACTTAGTTCAAAGTATTTTTTATTTACTTTTCTTGTGCTTTCTCTTTTGACCTCTGAGATATTTATAAATTTGCCATATAATTTTGAAATAGTTGATATATAGGGGAGGAGTTCTATATATCTTAAGATGATTGATTTTTTTTTAGTTGCAGTTGGACACAATACCTTTATTTTATTTATTTATTTTTTTATGTGGTGTTGAGGATCGAACCCAGGGCCTTGCACATGCTAGGCAAATGCTGAACCACTGAGCCACAACCCCAGCCCCAAGATGATTGATTTTTAATATAATAAATGATGCAGGGAACACAGTCTGCATGATTTCAAATTTTAAAAAAATTAATGGAATTTCTTGTATTGGTTACATACATGTCAAAACTGATCAAAGTATATACTTCAAATATGTGCATTTTTTTTGTACTTCAATTTTACCTCAAAAAAGCTATGAAAAAAATTGAGAAGGCAGACTGGCAGTTCCTGTAAAGCATGATTTCTGTGAGCAGTTGGGTTGAATGGAAAAAAAAATTGGTAAATATAATACAATTCTATATTGTCTTTGAACATGATTATTGGATATTTTAGTTAATCTCTTCTTTATATAAGAAAATATATAAAAATCAGAAAAAAAAGCTACTATTCATTTCAGACGTCATAACATTTATGCTTTTTAAACATTCTTAGTAAAACCATCAGGATCTTTTTTAGGTGTTTGAGCTCAGCTATGATTGTACCTAAAATTATTTCATGTGATATAATTTATCTTAAAACTTGCTTTTAAATCTCCAAGTTTTAGCTGGGGTTATGTCTCAGCAGTAGAGCATTCACCTCGAATGTGCAAGGCCCTGAGTTCGATCCTCAGCACTACATAAAGACAAATAAAAATAAAAAGGTATTGTGTCTAACTACAATTAAAAAATAAATATTAAAAAATACATAAATTTCCAAGTTTTATAAGATATATTATTGAGAATTATATTCTTTTCAAAAATAAATGAAGTCAAGTAACTACCAATTAGACTGTAAAATTATAATTAATGAATCTTTCAAAGCCCATGTAAAATTAGTTTTTCTATTAATTTCTGTGAGAGTTGTTACTATGTTTTTTTCATTAAACATAGGCATGTAAGGCAAAAGACATAAAGTGAGATGATTATCTCAAACGCTATTGTAGACATTCTATTTTCTTGAGGAAGAAGATTGGTAATATCTCTATTCTACCAATATTTGTTAAATGTCAAGGACCAAGCTTTAAAATACAACTTTTTAGGGCTGGGGATGTGGATCAAGCAGTAGCGCGCTGGCCTGGCATGCGTGCATCCCGGGTTCGAACCTCAGCACCACATACCAACAAAGATGTTGTGTCCGCCAAAAACTAAAAAATAAATATTAAAAATTCTCTCTGTCTCTCTCTCTCTCTCACCTCTCTCTTTAAAAAAAGTAAAATAAAATATAACTTTTTAAAGGAATCTTTATTGAATGCTTTACTTTGAGATTTATAGTGAGTCTAATGTAAGCCTAAGAATTATAGATTTACAGAAATTAGAATATGCCAAGAGAAAAAATATTAAAATGTTTTGAGTTGGGACATTTGTATTTTAATGATATATCAACATATTTCATGTATATAATCACAAAATAAAATAATTAAAAAATATTTCACTAAGATTGACATAATATTATATTTCCTCTAAGAATACCAGCATTGGACTCGGGATATAGCAAAATTGGTTGAGGGTTTGCCGTGCATGCACAAAGCCCTGGGTTCAATCCCCAGCAACACAGAAAAACAACAGCAACAAAAAAGAATATCAGCATTGCTTAGGAAGATATGAATTAGAAAGAAATAAAATACATTCAGAGATATGACGAACTATGAATGAAGGAGTAAATAAGAATGTGCCTACTTTCAAATAACTCAGGTTGGATTTGTGCTGGCATATATGATGATTTTTCTCTACTGTGTATCCAAATTGCAAAGATCTTAGAAATGATAGAGTAAGAGAACAATAAAAGAACTGAAGAGTTATCTAATGCCTCAGTATTCCATACAGTGAGCTACAAAGGGGTCTCCAACCATACCTCCAAGATCTCTTGAGGGGGTAAATAGGATACATATTGTCTTTGGGCTATTCTTATCAGTAGATATCTTTCTATTATATTTGCAATAGTGCAATAGGATAGTGAATTGGTATTAAAGAGGGTTTTACTGCTGCAGTTTTTGGTGTCATACCTACATGTATTTGAGACAAAATCCCATCTCTACCATGAAAACCCAGATATATTTCCTGTATTGCATTTTTCTTTAAATAAGACAAATAATATTTGAGCTATGATAAAAATTAAGTGAAAAAAAATTAAAAAATAAAAAAGATATAGCTTTGAGTTTTCAAAATAAGTAATTTCTTATTCTTCCGGCTGACTCTCTCAAAGAGATATTAAGCAATATTTTGAAGAAATTTTCAACGTAAAAATCAAGACTGTATAGCATTCCACAAATGTTATTTGTTCTCTTACTGAAAATTTTACCCAATAATATTACTGATGATAATGTCTAAATTATTAACATTTATATAACTAAATTATATATTCAGAAGTGACCTGCCTTTTAGGTACGCAAGCTATAGTAGGCAGCAAAAGGAAGGCAACACAAAGCAAGTCTGGGAATCTATGTTTTTACATGAATGAAAATTGTTGACTTGGTTATGTTAAGTTTACCTTAGAAGTTAAAGCATATTTTTAATTAAAATAGAGTTTGCCTAACATTATATCACCAAGACTATAATTCAATTATATATTTTATTTATGATTTGATGACAAGATCACCAAAATAATTTTTAAAGAGCATGTATGCAGTTTGCATGCTACCATTTTTCCACCTTGTGTCTAACATGAATTAATTTAAAAGACCAATTTATAAATAATAAAATGTATTCATGATGCTAGCTATATTTCCAATTAATAAATAAAACAAATAAAAATCCCAGTTATAGTTCTTTTTCATTACTACAGGGATATCATTTTTACATTACTCATGCTACAAAAGCCTTCTGAAATAAATGAATTTTCTTCTGGCATGTATCTATTGAATATTTATGCTTTAAATAGTTCTTTTTAAATTTTTATTGAAATGTAAGCTTTCTGCTGGATTGTCTATCTGTTCTCTTTCTCTTCTATCAGCGGAAGTGCCTACTAGACATCTTGGCTTTTAAAAACTAGTATTCATATTAACTAACATAATTCAGGCATTTCCATACTAACTTAACATTTGAATATTTATGAAGTTCAAGATTACCTTTTGTCACATTGTATAATTGAAGACTTTCTTTTCTTATTGTAACTATTTATAAAAATGTAAATCATGAAATTTTACAGTGAAATTTCATTAAAAAGTTGCCTCGTGTAACTCTAAGCTTTGTGAACATGGGCATAATTAGGTACTGTAAGTATTTTTTTAATATTTATTTTTTAGTTTTTTAGGTGGACACAATATCTTTATTTTATTTTTATGTGGTGCTGAGAACAAACCCAGGGCCTCACACATGCTAGGTGAGCGCACTACCACTTGAGCCACACCCCCAGCCCACTGTAAGTATTTTCTTGGGACAATTTTCAAAAATTTTATTTTTCATTAAAATAATACCTAACAAAACTAAATGTTAGCAGAAGAATTTTTTTGTTTGCACATACTAAGATATGATAAATGTAGTGATTAAATGAACTAGATTAATTATAATACATAGATATAGATATTTAATCTGGGTCTAAAGAAAACAGAATCTTATGTTTCTGATAATCATTCTGACCTAATGGATGCTTTTCTTCTGATATATTTATACTTAGACTACATTTAATTATACTGAAATCATTGATTACTGTATTATATTGTATAGCTTACTAAATAAATAAATGTGCAAGGGAAAAACAGATCATCATGATGGTGTAAAAAGCAGATGCTTATTTGCATTGATTGTTCTGTCATGCATTGCTCCTTTAACATTGCCGTTAACACATGTCCACCAGTTATTTACCATATTTCTTCTTACAATCAGATCAATAAGCATTATATAAATTGCTATGCTTTGTAAATGAGATATTCCCCAAATGGTCCTGTGCTAATGCAGAATATTTGGAGGTGAAATGATTGGATTCTGAGGGCTGTAATCTAGTCAGTCCATCCCAGTTTCCATGGACTGGGTTGTAACTGTAGACATATGGGGCATAGTTGGAGGAGGCAGATCACTGGAGACATGCCTTGGAAGACTGCATCTTTTCTGTGGCCCTTTCCCTTCTTCTATCCAACAATATGGTCCACCTCACCTTGGGTCCAAAGCAGTGGACTCTGCCAACCACAGACTGAACCTCTGGAATTGTGAGCCAAACTAAACTTTTCCTCCTCTAAGTTTTTCATCTCAGGTATTTTGGTCAAAGCAATACAAAAGCTAACTAAAACTATGTCAATATAAGTTTCATTTACAAATGATATAAATAAATTTTGACTCAAGAGTTTTTCGGTTTAGAGCATTGCATTATATTTCATTCTCTTAAAAAATTACCTTTTTCTTCTTTAACATTTCACTTCTGTTTTTTCAGTGAAGAAGAAATGGTAATTTAGAGTAACATATATATTATAATTTCTTAATGCTTGGAATTAAATTTGCATAATTAATATCCATATTTCAGAAGTCATATAAAATGAAATGTATGGTATTAATTTAGCAATAACAAGTAAAGCTTGTTTTAGGATATAAGTTCTTAGTTCCATTAGATTTTTAAGGGTAATAACAATGCCTTGCCATACCATTTCCTATACATGCTATAATATCAGTGTCTACATTTCCATAAATTGTTTTTTAAGTTATATAATTTGTATAATAATGTACTTTTGTTCCTTTGTTGTCATAGCTAATTTTATGTATGTATCTTAAAATGTCATATTTACCTTTACTTTCCTTTTCAGATTTTTCAATTTTCTTCTTCCCTGGGAAGGAGGGAATAACAATAAATTATCATCTTAAAAAAACGTGATTTTCTTATTAATTCTTGGAATAAAGAGTTAAAGATGAGTTCAATTCTCTGAATGGAGGAGCTGGCGGTCAGGGATCTACCATTTAAAGATATACAGGAAGAGGCCATGTTTGAGAATATACATCCTGCTTGTATTCAGTCACCTCTATGCTTAGCCCTTCCTATTCCTTGCATGATTTGAGGTGAAACTAAAGGAAGCCATGGCTTTATCAATAAGTTTGAACTCATACAATAGGGAAAATATTAAAATTTCCAATTGTTGTCTTCAGAAAATAAAGATTTAGCAGTACTGTGGATGCTCCACTAACAAAAAAGTCACATATCTCCGAGTAAACTGTAGATCAGTTTTCAAAACCGAGTCTTGATTGATTAATAATTTTCTTTATTATGTTTTTCAGACAAGAAAGAAAGAAATCAATATTTAATGAGACAACCTATTAGGTGTTAGAAATGTGACACAAGGTATTTCACTGAATCCTTAAATGTGTCTTTGAGGAAGTTAGTATGCCTGCTCTGTAGATGAGAAAACTGGGAATTTGACCAATTAAGGGATTTTCTCAATTCTATACAGCTAGATACAGATTCAAATTTGCATATTGTTTTTACAATTCAATGTTATCTCTTCTGAGATGCTGAATATTTACCTGATTCTGTGACTTCTGATGTTCCCTCTTTCAGGAAAAAAAATGTGATATAAAAATATGAATAAATAGCAATTCATTATAATAGTAGATAAATTTTATTTTCAGGTATTTTCTATTAAATTATAATAGACTCATTTTCTCAAAATGATAGAAACATACTGACAATATTTATGAAATCCATAACTAGACATCTATTGTGAAAATAGAAATATTTACAAACTAACCTAAACCTATTGAATATAATTTTAAAATGTTAAGTCTTTGGTTAGTTTTCTAAATTACAAATTAAAAACTACTGTGACAGAAAATTTAACTTGAATATTATGGATGCATAAATGCATTCACTCACCAAATATTATTAAAGATACATAATTTATAAGATGTTGCACCAAGTGCAATTGAATGGGACCATGACATGAAAAATAACAAATGCAAATTCTGGAGAATGAAGAATCTACTTTTCCTTTTGTTCCTTCAGTTAACTCATAAACTAATAACTTTCTAAATATAACCTGGCAGTGTGGGGAGCCACTCTGAATGACCCATGCCTTCCAGTCCTGAAGCAAGAGGCTCAGACCAAGTACTACATTTGTGGTGACTTGGGCCTTGTCCCAGGAAGTAGAAGGCATGTCTTCAGGAGTAGGCGTGTCACTCATGGAGTTGAGCTACACTCACTATTCTTTTATAATACTACCCCTTTGCCCTGTTTGGGATAGAATGTTCCATGGAAACATCCTTTGTGTGCCCCCTTCTCTTGCTCTGCCTTTGAGTGTGACCTTCCTAGATGTCAGACAACCTGCCAACAGAAGACATCATAAAGCTAGACTTACTCCCCTGAAACCTGACCCCTGCCTCATTTGAATGGCTTCTCCTCAATAAGAGGGTTCAGCAAGTGTTCTCTCTCTGTCTTTCCACCGACCCCCTACGGTCAGAGGAGCCATCACAGGACCTAAAGAAAAAGGTGTAGTGTCTCTTGTGTGATTATTCTGTGCAGCCCAGTTTAACTGGAGTTAGTTACCCTGAGTGTTTTAGTTGTGAGAAACGTGACATAGCACAAAAAGTTTTATCTTTCCCTCAAAAATCAGTACAAGTGGTTAACATTTCCAGAGAATTTATCTGAATGGGTAAGAAATCTCTCAGGTTTTCCAGTGACTTGGAAGACACAGAAGAAAAAACATTAAAATTTCCAATTTTCTCAGCAACTTAATGAGGACCTAGGTTACTTACTGAGCTCCTGTCTCAAAATAAAAAAATAAAAAGGCCTAAGGATGTGACTGAATAGTTAAGTGTCCCCCACAGTTCAATCCCCAGTACCAAACAAAATAAATAAATAAACTGAATGAATTAATAAACAAACAAATAAATCAGGTTTTGGTAAGCCTGATGAATTTAGCTAACAGTCTTATATAACTTTTTTGAAAAGTATTTTCATAACTCAAGAATAGTTGACTAAAATTGAATAAGGAAGATGATGAATAGTGTTTCATAAATAAGATAATATTTTCAAGTGACTAACATTCCAGTTTAACTAGAAACACCTAATTTTAGTAATATTCTCCACACTAGTAGCAATAAGACATTGAATACGCTAGCCATTTCTCCAATTCAAAGGTAATATTTAATGTTTAGATTGTCACTGAATTTATTCCAAGATAATTGTGGCTTCGTTTTTTAGAAATCTATCATAACATTGCTAAGAAAACAAACTGATCCTTAGTACACAGAAACTTTGAAAAAAAACCTCCAGATACATCATTGAATTCACATATTTGTAACCCAAAGTAAAGTCTGGAACACGTTTTGATAGTATTAAGGAAATGATTTCATTGTTTACTGTTGCATTTTTATTCTTCCCTAAAATGCCAAAGGATGAGTCCACATTGCTAAAAAACGATGTGCCTCAAAACTTTTTGAAAACAAGAAAATAAAGATCTAATCTGTAGATATTATATACTTAAAGCAAATATCATAGCAGTAAATTTTTTTTAACCCAGATAGTGAGTATTAGAGGAAATTTCATACTGAATTTACTCAATGCATCATAACAGACAGTTGAAAATAGACAAAGAGATGCAACTACTTGTCTTTTGCACTGTTAGTAGTTTATGATACATATTTTTATTATACAGACATGACAAATGAAAACATTTTAGGCTATTTTCTCAGATATCCTAGTACAGTGTAAAATGCCTAGCAGGTGTTCCACAAATACATGTTCAAGGGTTAACAAATGCAAAGCACACAATGTCCTTTGTCAAACAAAATTTCTTAATAGGTAATAGCATAATATTAATTATGTTAAGAAATGTGTCATATTTTTAAACTTAATATTCCATTTAAAAACTATGAAATTAAAATAGTATAGAAGTTTTTTAAAAAATCTTAAATTATTTACTTACTTGGAGTTGGTTTTGGTTTTTCTAAAAGTTAAAAGAAAAGAAAATGTGGTGAATTTCTAGGTATATGTAGTACATTTGTCCATTATATTTTCTGTTTCTGTATTTTATAGTTAGAATGGAAATAAGGTTCAACATATGTTAAAATAAGAAATAAGGAAAGTATTTTGAGTAATTTTTAAGATATATTCCCCATGAATTTACTACAGAACAGTTGTAAACCTCTAAAATATAGAACATTTTTGTTCTCTTTATCCTCACTAAAATCTTATTTATGAATTGATATACTATGAATGTTTACAACAATCTGAGCTTCTTATTGTTTCTGAATGGCACAGAATGCATATTATTTCACTTCCTTTCTGAAAATATAATGCTAATTAACAATTTAAACTCTCCAAATATAGTATAAATGAAAAAGTTGATATAAAGTATCAGAAAGAAAAATGGGTGGTAGATGAATACCTATATTGTAGAAATACATTCTCTTCAATATGCCTTTTCTCCTGAAATTAGCAACTAAAAATATTAAGTGTTCACTCTTATACTTAAACTTCTACTCACTAAAAAATAGCCACATTTTACAATGATTGTGAAAGATCTGAATCATGCATAATAAGGACAAGTAAATGCTGATACATTAACAGTTTGAATATAAATTGATATAACTTTTATTAAAAAATTAGAAATATTTATAAAAATGCATTGAATATAACATTCACTAAAATAGTCTAAGGAATTTTAATTTAAAATTAATAAAACTACACATATTTTCTAAATTAATAAACTAAAATGGTAGATATCATACATTTTTGAAGGAAATTTATAAAACACCTTTTTTTAAAGAGAGAGAGAAAATTTTTTAATATTTATTTTTTAGTTTTCAGTGGACACAACATCTTTATTTTATTTTTATGTGGTGCTGAGGATCAAACCCAGAATCCATGCATGCCAGGCGAGCAGGCTACTGCTTGAGCCACATCCCCAGCCCAACAAATTTTATATAGATCAAAGAGCCTCCTTAAGTAAACTATGTGCAATTCTACTATAGAATACTACTAATGAGTAAATTCTTTAAGTAATGATGCTTTAAAAACCTTCCAGATGCATTCTAAAATATAAAAGTTGAGGGAAAGTACTATGAATATATGTTATGATATATGTTAGAAAAAGTGGTATATATACACATATGCATATGTGCATATATAGATCCATAGATAATGATAAAAGCATACACTAAGAAATAAGAGTGATTGCCTATTCAAAATTATTAGATATTTTCAGAATGAAAACTGGAAGAAGAGGGAAAAAGAAGAAAATGGATATTTATTCAGTTAGCCCCTGAGTGCCTTAGTATTGGAATCTTGAAAAATATTAACATTTTTAAAAAATTGAATCTTATTATAAAAGAATTATGTCAACTGTTATAGAATGGAATAACTTCTATTTTAGGAAATATATCAAATGACATTCACAGTTAGTGAAATTCAACGTATGTAATTTGAAATGGCATTTTTAAGTTATCAACAGTGAATCAAATTCATTGATAAGATGACAGGAATGTTGCCAACAATTAATRCAGAATATTATGGAAGAACCTCATACACCAGGAAAGCATATCTGTTCTTTTAATGTTGCTCCACTATAGTAGCATGCTTGGCCATCCATGATTGATTGACGATACCACAGCCCTTAGGTCATATTAACTTGATTATACTGCAAAACCACAAGACTATGTATAGTACCAGGAAACAAAATGCAAAGTGCTTGCATGTATTGCTCTAATTTTCAAATTTAATAAAAATAATGAATTAAGATAATAAACTGTCAACATAAAGGTAAAAATACCTGCTTTTATAGACGGAGGTTCTTTTTCTTGATCTTCAGCTTTTTCTAGAAAGAGAAACCAAAATTTATGGCAATCAGTGGATTATTCATGCAGTAAGCATTTTTATTTATATATTTGCAGCAATCCTCAGCTTACACAAGAGACATGCCCCAAAAGTCATTTTTATATAACTTGTAACACAGAAAGCATATTGCCTTGGAAGCACTTTATAAACAAGTTTAGGTTCAGTCTATGGACATTCCTGAGAATGGTTTTCTCCTGCATGCAGCTAAAGGGCAGTTCCAGAGTATTCACTATTCTTGTGACCATGTGGTTTAAGAAGAAGACAGAATATGCAAAAAGGACATTAGAAAAGAAATTTCTTCTTTCTTTGCTGAAGTAGGAGTCAGTCCTTGGGAACATTTTAACGTAGATGACATTTGCCTTTAGCATTTGACCAACTTCTTTCCTTGCCTTTCTGATTCCTAGTTCCCTTCTTACCAGAACAGAAACAATTTAGTGTTGGACACTCGTTTCTTATTTAAAATTAAATACACATATGTTTATCTCCAGAGAATATCACATTTTGTATTGATTTTGTACCATCTCCCTTTCCAGGTTCTGTAGGAATCTCATATTCTCCGCCAATTCCAGGACATGACAAATTAAATAAAAAATTTGTGAGTAATTGACATTCCCTTAATTCTCTGAAAAATATTTAAAATATAAAGTGTTTAAGGAGATTGAACACTTTAATCAAAAGTGGAATTTAAGATGAAGCCATGTAAGAAGTGATATGTTCAAAGGAGTTGAGAATATTTGGAAATTGAGCAGATCACCAGAGTAGCCAAAGTAGCCCAGGAGTAGGTCCTCTCCAGTGACTTCCAAGGTTAGTCCTCCTAATCTGTTCTTGATGTTTACTTGTCCTTTCTTTCCTTTACTCCTGAACAAACAGATTCTGTGAAATTACTACTATTTTTCTCCAACATCATACACCAACTATGAGGTAGATAAGAAGATGGAGAAATTCAATTATTATTAAACAAAATAGAATATTTATGAATTAGGGATCAATAGTTTTCACAAATGAACTTCCATGAACTGAATTTGCATAATTGTTATATTCAACAATCATGAAAAATAAATGAAAATTAAGTTGATAATGTTTAAAGTATTAAGCTGTCATAAAAACACCACCACAAAAATAAAATAAATCCAAAAAATCACTGATAAATAATATGTATTCAAAATTTGTTGCACAATTATGCACCATATATTTGTTCCATATCTCCTAACTTGTCTCCTATGTTTTTCGTAGGAACTTGGCAACCACTTTTCATACAGAAACCAGAATATGTGCTCTTGTTTCACAAGTGTATGTCATTCAAGGATCGACATTATAATTTTGATACAGTGTTAGACACTTTTAACACCTGCATAATAATAATCGTATGTTCACACCTTCTTTAGTTTAGTAGTCTCATTTGAAACTATCTACCACTCTAATGTCTGTGTTGCACCTGTGCAATGAAATGAATGATCCTTGAAATTTGCACCCATGAAGAAATTCTGTGACTTTAATAGAAAAATGACAAAATGTTTACAATTTTATAAATTAAAATGTGAAAAATCTTAAAGCAAATATGTATATATAAATATATATTTATATATACATATGATTGTATATATATATATACATTGTTTATAACACTGACAATTTTACATAATTTTATTTGTCTTTGTTATTCATTATGTATGTTTAAACGATTTGCCACCTCTCCTAATATATTATTTTGGACATTGTATGACCTGTATGCACTTACTCATTTAATATTAACAATAGTGATATGACTTTTAGACATTTCTTCTATGTAATTATGAGGAATCATTAATTAGTAGTGAGAGACAAATATGTTAAATAAAAGCCATGGGAATAACATTAATTCATCACTTAAAAAGGCAATTTAGCCATAAGACACATGACAAATAACATATTAAAAACAGGCAAATTGTTAAAATTGAAATGGTCAAGCGATACTTCTCAGGTTTTAAGTTCTTCATCTCTTACTTGCTGGTTTGGGTGTGGCTGTGGAGAATGAAGGAAAGTAGATGATAGATCAATGAATACAGATTGTAGGGAAAAAGTACCTTATTCACATGCTCATTTATTTGTTCTATTTTTTAGGTTGTGTCCCTTAGCTTAAGTTAACCCTTTTTCTTGAGCAGTTTTATTTTAATAATATGACTTGTCAAAAACTGATAAGACACATGAAACAGACATAACATTTAAAGCAATCTGTATGTTCAAGGTTGGATTTTCATAATCTCCAAATATCCATATGACAGGGTGAGACACTCAGAGATGCATAATAATGTCTTAAGAGTACAGGTGTGAGGAACATTATAATCCTAGGCATTGCTTGTAAAAAAGAAAAGTTGTCATTCAAGGTCATGGGAAATGGTCTCATATAGTTTCCTTCCTTCTTATAGAATAACAGTATGTAATAACTATAATAAATTTGTATAACTAATTAGTTCTCCCAGAATATTATTTACCTTTAAGAAACAACGCTTCAATTCTGTTTATAGAATTCTTTTAGGTAAGTGACAATATTTACTTCATAGGCTTTCTCTTATATTGATGAGTGTGAAATGAGACTCCTAGTGGCCAAGCCGGGAAGACTTCCATCTTGGAATCCAAGGGGATTTAGTGGTTCAAGATCTGAACTGTATTGAAGACTCAGAATTTTTTTTTTTTTCTCTCCACACTGGAAAGACTCCAAAACCACAAGAGCACATGCACTCCTTTCTTTCTCCCATGAAATAATTAGGGATGGGCTGTTTTTACTTTAATATTATGTCTTCTACTTTATTCTTTAATGTAATTTTAAAGGTTTCATAGCCACAAAACTCTTTGTGGAACTCCATGAACAGAAATTATTATAGCTGATGTATAAGTAGCAGAAAGTTTCAAATTTTTGAGATTTTTATGATTTGAGGAGATGTGGCTTGAAAATAAGAGTGAACATATGTGATACATTACATACTTTATGAGCTGAGGCTAACTACATTTTAAAATGATAAAGTAATGCAGCTTTAATTTAAAATTTTTTAATAAAAATTTATTAAATTATATCTGTTGTTGTTCACAAGAGTTCAGATTCTTAGAATTTATGTCCTTGCAAGTCTACATGTTCCAATGAGGATGTACGCTCACCTATAAAACATAAAACTGATAAACTGAAGAAAAATATAAGATATTTTATTTACCTGTTTTTTCTACAGTGACAGCTTTTACCTGCTTTACCTTTTCTTCTGTGATAGGAAAAAATGTTAACACGAGTAGAAATTTTGAATACATCATACAAAACATTGACAATATTTCATTCTTGATATTTTGTATTCTTTTTTTAAATAACACCCATGCATGAAAGTTTTCCCAATAAAATAGTAAACAATACTTCTATTCAAATAGGAACCACACAAAAAAAAATGTCTAATCTAGACATCCTCTGCACATATCTTATTGCAGAGGAGTTCCTAATTTAATTTGACATATAACCTTCTAATGCAAATCCTACCCTTCACCTTTGCTCTGTGTCACTATATTTATCTGTGACACAGAGGCAACTCTTTATTCCTGACAGACTAATATAAAATGAAGCAGTTTCTCATCATTCTTGTGGAGGTACCTCCCTGAGATTCCAAAATGAGACAGTCCTCTGTCTTCTCTGATTTTATAGAGTCAAGGAGATTTAACTCAAACTAAAGTGACTGTTACATTGAGCCAATATAAAATTAAACCTCTCAGCTGGGAGAGTGAACTTGCTGTTTAAATATTCCTTAAGAAAGTTTCATTGAGTACAATAGAATTTAAAGAACAGGAAGATTTGTAAGTGAAATTTAATATTTCTGGCTAAAAGACATACATTTGATATACACTCAGAAATAAACTCTCACTCTCTCTGTACTCTCCCCTCAAAATAGCTAACATTTAGAGCATCAGAAAATAACAGTTTCATTAATGACATAAACTAGGAGGCTCTAAAAGTTCTCTGACTCCCCCAAATGTCCAGGCCTTTTTTCTTTATTCATATATTTTTAAATATTGATGTCTTAAACTTTTAAAAATCATACTTTTTAAATCCAATCCTACTGATTCAACCCCATTGAATCTAGATTTTCTGAGGCCTGATTTAAAAAATGTAAACAAAATATTCCCTAAAATTTGTTTTCAAAAAGAATGTTTTTAATTTCTCAAAAATTCTGGCCCAAACATATTCAAGAACACCAAGAAAACAATTCATGGAACGTCTGGAATGGAGAATAATATTCTACAGAATAACCAAGACTTGGAGAGTCTCAAATTTAAATTCACATTTAATCAATTTAAATAAAAACTACATTTCTATTTTTTAAATAAAAACTAATTAATATCCTTGATTTGGTGAATTCTCTAATTTTCTTTACAGGAGAACCACAATGGGTCCAGCTCAACTGTCTACAAAAGGTACTAACAGGAGTAATGAGTAAAAAAAGGAGAAGCAAGAATGGGGAAAAGAAAAAAAGGAGGAAAGAAGCAGGGAGGATGAGAATGACTCAATATCCTTGAGATTTGGGGAGTCAGGATGATCACATCTGAATGAGACAATCTGAATTACAAATTGTCTAAGGATATCCTGCTCACCACAGGAAAAATGAAAATATCGAGCTCAGCTGGGCACATAGCATCATCTGTAATCCCAGCCCCTGTTGACACAGACAAGGAGGATCGAAAGTTTGAGGCCAGCAAAATCAAAAGGGCTGGGATGTAGATCAGTAGTAGATCATCCCTGGGTTCAATCCTCAGCACTCCTCCACCTGCCAAAACTGTGCAGCCTATTCACCTGGATGCTGGTGATTATGGTCTTCATACTATCTCTGATGGGAAGGAATGAGTAGCTGTCTAGCTGGATCGGACTCATCACATTCTCAGTACATAAAGTATTAAGAAGATGTCTAAAATTGTAAATATTCTAGAAGCTCATGACGTAAGACATCAGTTGTCTCCAGTAATTTCAGACTTGACTGTATGCTCTTCCTTCTGTGACAGCTATCATATTGAGAGACACTTTGAGACTACAAACACAACCTTCCAAATACCTGGTTTGTCATGAGAAACATTCTTATGTGGTTTCACTGTGTCTTGTTCTGAAAACAAAATATAAAATCTTTTCAAGTATTTATGACCTTGATAAGTTTATATATAATGAATACTTATGAGTTAGGCCAGTGGTTTGTAAAACAGAAAATAACTACCAAACGTGCCCATAGAGAAAAAAAAATTATAAATTTCCATGTGATTCTATTTCATATTAAAAACTCGAAAGGTTTGATTCATGAAAACAATATATTAATAATAATTATTTACATTTAGGTGACTTAATTTTCAAAACATGGGCTATAATGAAGCATACACATAAAAGCATAGATTAAAAATGAATTTAGAAATATGCAAATTTTCTTATAAAAGACTCTATAGAAGAATTTTAAATGAAATGTTAATACATACTGTGGATTTGTGCCTTTTCAGATGAAGCTTGAAAAGAATAAATATATAACATATTTGAATTACACTACATGAAAATTTGTAATAATTAACAAAAATAAAAAAAAATTAACTAGCTTTAAATTATATTGGGCTTCTGGTTTTCTTTTTTGTTTGTTTGTTTGTTTTTAATGCATATATCTGGTAAAACCAGTAGTGACCAAATGTGATCAGGAAAATAAAAAGAGTAGATAAGTATTGTTAGTATTTAGATATGAGGTGTTCCCCATAAGTGCATGTGTGAAACAGAGCAAGAATTTTCCCAGGTGAGATGATTAAGTTATGAGAACCTTAACCTAATCAGTGGATTGATTCACTGATAGGATTTAAAGGAGCAATAACTGTAGACAGGAAGGGTGTGATTGCAGGTAAGGGCCTTTGGAGTTTATATTTTGTTCTGGATGAGCAAAGATCTCCCTCTGCTTCCTGATTGCCATGTCCTAAGTTGGCTTCCTCCTCCACACCCTTCCTCCCTGCTTTCTCCCTCACCTCAGGCCAAACAGGAGTCAGCCACTGAGGGACTGAGATCTTTGAAACAAGATCTTTGAAACTTCCTCTTTTCTAATTGTTCTTATCAGCTAAAACATTTTTGAGCTTTGTTGCATGAGGAATACTTTATTAGGAGAGCAAATAGATTCAAGCTATGATCAGATGCCAGTAAGAATTAAGAATTAAAGAAGTGAGGTAGTTTTATATATATACTTCTGGATTTGAGGAAGGAAGGAAAGAAAAAAAAGTATATATATATATATATATATATATATATATATATATAGAGAGAGAGAGAGAGAGAGAGAGAGAGAGAGAGAGAGAAGATACTTGCCTCAGGTTAACAGCTAGTTAGTTCCAGAACTAGGACTTAAACACTAAATGGCAATGAAAAACTTGGGAAGATCACCCAGTTTTTAACTTAATGTATAAAAATGATTGTCTGGGACAGTCTATTAGCAGGAGTATATAGGATCTGAAACAAATCAGATATGGGCTAGAATCCTAGCTACAATATTAATTAGCATGAAAATCCTGAAAAAATAACAAATTTTTCTAAACTTGTTCTGTTGAGCTGTTTCCACAAATTATGAATGTATATAATAACTGCTATGTTGTGTGCTGGTCCTAATCATATGATAAAAGTAAAAATGCATCATTAGTCTTTACTTCACAGTAGATGCTTAATAGGTTCTTATCCCTCTTACCCTTTAAACCCAAGTAGTCCATGACTTTATGAATTTATAACTCTGATGATTATTATTAGAAATAAAGCCACAATTTTAACATGATCATACTCTACCCCAAAAGATGTGTTCTAAAAACCTAAAGCCTCTGCTGAGGTTTATTGAATTCACATTCTAGATAATTTTGTCTATGGGCAATCCCAATTTCACCTAATCTAGTACTTTAAATTTATATTGAACCATAAGTGGGGAAAAAATGAGGAGAACTGCGGGTTTAGCTCAATGATAGGGCACTTACTTATAAGGAAGCAGGACACCCTGGGTTTAAGTCTCCAATATTGATAATTTTAAATAAAAAAAGAAAGAACAAGGGGAAAAAAAAGGATGAGGAACTGGGAGACTGTGTTCCCCTAGTGTGAGACAAACCTATTTTTATTTCCTAATTGAAAGCAAAGTCAGCTCTGAAACTATTTAAGATAAAAATATTGCTACTTGATTTTTACATTCTTTTAAATTTGTGCCTGGGTTGGGCAGGGAGACCATTTTAATTCTATAAAAAAATAATGAACCAGAACACAAATATATTTTTGGAACTCAATTTTTTCCATAATGGGAAAATAAATTTAATAAAAATTATTCACTTTTCTTGGTGGTTTGAATTACTAAATACTCAGTATTTTAAAAATGCTATGCACATGTCTGTCATTAAGTTGTTGCTACTTATAATTGATTTAAATCTAAATTATCTGTTTATTTTCAAAATGATTGAAATGGGAATCAGTTCCAAAGTAATATAAGTGATTTGGAAAAGAGTTGGAAGAGATTATCTGAAAGATCTAATTAGGTATTTACATGGAATTTAGATAAATAATATTATGAATGTGCTCACTAAAAGTTTTGTTGAGTTCTAACCCTCAATCCTGAGAATGTGACCCTCTTTGGAATAGGATTGCTGCAGATGTAATTAGTTAAGGTAAGATGAGGTCATAGGAGAGAAGGTGGGTCCTCTTAATAGGAGAGAGACACAAAGGCAGAAGCTGGCCATGTGATGATGGAGGTGGAGGCTGAAGAGATGCATCTAGAAGCCAAAGGACATCATGGATTGCTGGCAACCACCAGAGGATAGAAAGGCGATGAAGGTTTCTCCTCTAAGGATTGAGGTAGTGTTGTGTTTCCTCCAGAATTTTGAGTAAATAAATGTCTTAAAAGCAACAGTTAGTGGTATCTTAATCACAACCATCCAAGGAACAGATAGGTTTGGGTATGGGAATGTGGGGTGATTTACCTGTCATAAATACCTATAAAATGTGGAAGTGACTTTGGAATTAGGCCATGGGTAGATGATGGAAGAGTTTTGAGGCACTTTATAAAACAGCCTACATTCCCTTGATAAGACTAATATGGCTGTTTGCTAAAGAATTTGGTTTGAGATTCACAGATCCAATTAATTACCTCAGCAGAAAATAGGAATACAGATTATTTGATCCAAGACTGTGGAGAACCCCCTTATCCAATATCTTGGAACCTCATGGATTAAATAGGAGATTTAGTACAAATACTATACCAACCTGGACAGAAAGTGAAAGAAATAGAATTAAATGAATGAATTATGACTCCAAAGTTAAAAATATGGATTCAAAGGCCTGGGATAATGGTCTCTTCAGCAGAGAGTGTGGAGCTATGATCTCACAGAGCTGAGAGGTCTGGTCCACCATCCCAGCATTGAGCACAAGAAGACATTTTTAGAACCAGACATTTGCTTGAAGCTGACTACCCTTTTATTTTCTTCCAGTTTCCCCTTTGGAATGGGAATGTCTATCCTATGATTATCTCAATATTTTATTTGGGAGAAGATAATTTGTCTTATGGCTTTACGAGTGCACAGGTAGAAAGGAATTTTTGTACAGGAAGAATTATATTCCAAGATTCACCCATAACTAATTGAAATAACTTAGATAATTAAATTTGGAAGCTTTCATTTGTTAGCATTTTGGATGACATTCTAGACATAAGAGTTGATGCCATAATGATTAAGACGTTAAGGATGTTGGGATGGGAGGAATGTATTTTGTACATATGAAGACATGAGGCAAAGGATGAACCTTTTATAGATGAATTGTGTCCTCCCCAAAGTTGCTTAAGTCCTAACACCCATAGGTTATCTTATTTATAAATAGGGTCATTGCAGATGTAAATAGTTATGATGTCATTATGGAGGAGTAGGGGGTCCTTAGTGCATGATGACTAGTATACATGTGAGAAGAGGGAAAGAGATACAGAGACAGAAGCACAGAGGGAGAAGATGGCATGTGATGAAGGAGGCAGAGATTGAAAGGATGCATCTGCATGCCAAGCAACACCAAAGATTGCTGGCACCAGTATCCAGAAAAGGTGAGTAAGGATTCCTCTCTTCAGGTTCAAGAGAAACATGGCCTACCTTGATTTTGGTACCCAAAAATCTACCCCACAGAATTGAAAAAAAAATAGTGTCTATTTTTAAAGCCACCCAGTATGTGGTATTTTATTGCAGACAACCTATGACATAAATTCAATTAGGAAACTTGAACTAAAATTTTAACTGTTTTCAAAATTAGATTTCTGTCTTTTTTTCCTTCAAAAATGTTCTGTTGCCTACTGCAGCCCCAGAAATGTTCATTTTGCTCAAAAGTCCAGAAAAAAGAAAAGAATGAGAGGAGCTATTTTTCTGATAGAATGTGTCTTATAAGTATCAAAAAATGCAGGTTTATAGGAGTCTATCAGTCAATCACTTCTTTTGAACCACACAAAACTCAGATTTCATGTATATTAGAAAAGGTGTTTTTTCTTTTCTTCTGTGAATGAATAGCTTTTTAGTATTTTTAAGTTGTTTGCAATAAAATTTGATGTAATATCTCTATTGGGGCATAACATTGCAAAGAGTTGTATGCATGGATTTATACATAATTATATACACACCTGTTTTCTCTTCTTTCTTTTCCTGTGGCTCTAAAAATATAGACAAACATTAGTTATAATGATTATATAAAATTGTTATTTTCTTATACTCATGCATGTTTCTTTTTTACATATTATTCATTGTGTTTAATCTGTCATATTTTATTTTTCTTAGGATTATGGCAAATTAATATAAAAGATAAGTAAAGTTCTCTTACTATCAACCAAAATAAGAAGTATTTTGAGGAGAAATGGAAATGTGAGCTAAGATTTGTAAAACAAGGTTAGTAACATTATTGGATTATACCTCCAGTACATAGAAAATAAAAGAAAATTTCAGCACAACATATTCTCAGAATTACACTTAAGGCAATAAGAACATTTTCTAGACAAAACAGTTAAGGCTTTACTTTAAGCAAAATATTCAACGTGGAATCAGAGGATGAACAAAAACATGTATTTAAGATTTGTTTTATTTATTTGACATGCATATAACATACGTGGAGGTTTAGGCTTGACATCTTTGCCTAGAAAAAGTTGAAAAAATATTAAAATTTGAGTCAGACAATGTTTATCAAAATCACATTATGAAATATGATAGAAAACTATATATTTCACATTGAAAATTAAATGATATAAATACCAGCTACCCTGCCTTATTGAAATCATAGATACCTATAATTCAACATACATGGCCAAGTTATCAAGACAAAATTTATTTTAAATAATAAAATCTATTGCACTTTTAAAAATAATTTGCCCACAAAATCATATGTGCAATGTTAACTTTATTTTGTTATATTAAGAAAGAACACACATAATTTAATTTTGAGAAATTACTTTTAAACTTGCATTATGCTAGATGAAATATACAAGACTACTGTTTCATTTTCCATAAAATTATCAATGTGTCATCTGTGTTAGGATAATAACATTTTAAAGGATTCTTGCTGAATTGGGAGTTCTGGACTACTGGAAATAGATGCTTATTGCATGTTAAGTAGTTGACGCAGGGATTGGAAAGCCTTTTCTGTAAAAGGTCAGAACATGCATGTTCTCAGGTTGGGGACTATATGACCTCTGTCACATTAATTCATCTGTACTGTATAGGGCAGAAGCAGCCATAGACAATACTGTAAATGAATAGCAATGGCTTTATTTACAGACTGGTGACTGGTCTATTGGTCATTGTCACTCATTTTCTATTCAGTTTTAATTTTCTTTCCTTTTTATAGCAATGAAGGTTTGCACAGAGAACAAAAACACCTTCCATTGATTCTTTGTTCCTTTACAAATGTTATCTAATACATTTCCATCACTACTCAACTCATCTTCCTTTGATATTTTCATGTCTTGGCTCTTATTTAATCATTACTTCACTGTAATCTACATTTAATCTAACCATTCTATTTATCAGGACTCTCTGGTCTCAAATTTCTCCACTACTTGCCAAAACAATGGATATACTGAATCATATTGATCACTCATTCTTTTTAAATCCCTGTTCACCTGACTTCAGAGAAGGATGAGCATAACATATTCTATTGTTTGGGGATGAATATTAATACTGCCTTTCTTTATTCTCAAAAGTGTCCTGGGGACTTCCACTTCTAGCTAAAACACAAAAGCAGGGACCTAATTAGTTCTGGCAGTGGAATCTAAAGAATCCAGAAAGAAGTTTGTGAAACAATGTTTCAAAAGAGGCTGGACCTCAGATAACAAAGAAGAGCAAAGCTTGAGTGACCAGAAACAAAGGGGACATACTTTAAGATTGCTTCAGTTTACTGCTTTGAGTACCCAGAAGATTCCTGAGCAGAAGAGGCGGAACTGGGAGTGCAAAGAAACCTATATTGCTAGAATAAAAGTGGAAGAATAGCATAAAATGGAGAGCTGCGGAGGGGAGAAACACAGTTCTGGAGACTTGTGGAAGGATGTCATAAGTCAGATGAGCACAAACTGCATATAAACACAAGGGGTCTAACTGAGTCCAGGAAAACAATGGCAGGAATATCAAAGCTTTATAATAAGAAGTAAAGTTGGGTATTGTATAATAAGAAGTAAACCTTTATAATAAGAAGTAAAGTTGGGTATTGTTCTTTTTCTTTCGTGGGGTATTGTTCTTTTTCTTTCGTATTATATTTAATACTTGGGGTCATTTTGTATCACACATAAATTTTAGAATTGGTTTGTTAATGGCCACAAAATTATTTCAGGGTTGTTTTGTTGTTGTTGTTGTTGTTTTGGCAGGGGCAGGTACTAGAGACTGAACTCAGAGATGTTCTTCTTCTGAGCTACATATACAAACCACTTTTAAAACATTTTTTTTTTAATATTTTGAGAGAGGGTCTCACTATGCAATGAAAGTTGGCAGTGAACTTGCAATCTTCCTGCTTCAGCCTCTCAAGTTGCTGGGATTACAGGCATGCTCTACCATAGCCAGTCATTTCTGGGATTTAGGTAAAGATCATCGCATTGATGGAGAATGGGGAGAACTGACATCTTAACAATACTGAACTTCACATCCACAAACATGAACTAGCTCTCAATTTATTTAAACATTCTTTGGATTTTTTTTCCATTAGAGCTTTATTCTCCTTATTTTTTATTTTTTAAAATTCTACCTAGCACTTAGTTTAATTATTTTTCCTCAGAAAAAAATTATTTGATGTATTCGGTTTGTTTTTCCCATTTATAAAATAATATTATTTTATAAACTTCCTTACCATTATTTTTGTGCCATTCTACTATAAATACTAACTTAAGTGGATGTCTTCTCTTCTAGGCTGTGAGATATTTGAGGACAGAGGTCGTATGTATCCATCATTGAATTGAAGTAATCAGTACAATGTCCATTACATGATTTAATAATAGGGACTCGAGTATTTTTTATTCATTATATAAATAACTAAAATAATTAGAACAAGATAAAATAAATAAATAGAGAAATTGAGCAAAGAAAAAAAATAAATGTAGGAAAACACAAATTTATAAACCGCATTAGAGCCAGGCATGGTGGCATACACATATAATCCCAGCTATTCCAGAGGCTGAAACAGAAGGATCACAAGTTCAATACAAGCCTGGGCAACTTTGCCAGATTCTGCCTCAAAATAAAATTAAAGCTGGGCATGGTTGATGCACACTTGGGAGGCTGAGGCAGGAGGATTGTGAGTTCAAAGCCAACCTCAGCAAAAGTGAGACCCTGTCTCCAAATAAAACATAAAAAAAAGCTGGGGATATGTCTCAGTGGTTGAGTGCCTCTTGATTCAGTCCCCACTATGAAAATATGAACAAACAAACAAATAAATAAAATAATACAAAATAAATTTTTAAAAAAGGGTCAGTATAAAGCTCAGTGATAGAGTACTTTCCTACCATATGTGCTGTGTTCAATTCCTTATACTAGAAAAAGAAACTTGCATTAGAATACAAAATGCATGTTGAATTCCTTTGCCCATTTATCAATTGTGTTATTTGGTTTTTGAGTTATTTATATATCCTGGAGATTAATGCTCCACCTGAGGTGCAGGTGGAAAATATTCTCTTCCATTCTGTAGGTTCTCTTTTCATATTATTACTCTTGATTGTTCCCTTGGCTATGAAAAAGCATTTTAATGGGATTTCATCCCATTTGTTGATTCTTGATTTTACTTTTTGCACTTTAGGAGTCTTGTTAGGGAAGTCAGTTCCTAAGCTGACATGGTGGAGATTTGGAACTAATCTTTATTCTATTAGGTTCAGGGTCTCTGGTATATTACCTAGATCCTTGATCTACTTTGAGGTTTTTTTTTTTTTTTTTTTTTTTTTTGCAGGGGAGAGATGGGGGTTTAATTTCATTTTGCTACATATAGATTTCCAGTTTTCCCAACACCATTTGTTGAAGAGGTTATCTTTTCTATAATGTATGTTTTTGGCTGCTTTGTTTAGTGTGAGATAACTATGTTTATATGGGTTTGTCAGAGAGTCCCTATTCTGTACCATTGGTCTACATGTTTATTTTGGTGCCAATGCCTTGCCATTTTTGTTCCTATAGCTTTGTAGTATAGTTTAAGGCTGGTATTGTGATGCCTGTCACTGCACTTTTCTTGCTAAGGATTGCTTTGGTAATTCTAGGTCTCTTATTTTTTAAAATGAATTTCATGATTGCTTTTTTTTCTATTTCTACAGATTATTCATTGGAATTTTAATAGGGATTGCATTACATTTTTATAATACCTTTAAGTGATATGGCCATTTGACATTTTTAATTCTGCCTATCCAAGAGCATAGGAGATCTTTCTAAAGTTTTCTTCAGTTTCTTTCTTTAGTATTCTGTAGTTTTCACTGTAGAAGTCTTTCACTTCTTTTGTTAGATTGATTTCCAAATATTTTGTGGGGTTTTTTGAGGCTATTGTGGCTGGGATAGTTTTCCTAATTTCTCTTTCAGTAGATTCATCATATATGTGTAGGAACTCCATTGATTTATGATTCTTATTTTTATATTCTCTCCTCTTCTGAATTCATTTATGAGTTCTAGAAGTTTTCTGGTGGAATATTTTGGGTCTTATAAGTATAGAATCATGTCATTGGCAAGGATCTTTGAACTCTTCTTTTCCTATTTGTATCCCTTTAATTTATTTCATCTGTCTAATTGCTCTGGCTGGAGTTTCAAGGACAAGGTTGAATAAAATTGGTGAAAGAGGGCATCACTCTCTTTAGAGAGAATGCTTTAAAATTTTTTTTCACCAAAAACCCAAATAACTCAATTAACAAATGGGCAAAGGAAGTGAACAGGTACTTCCCAGAAAAAGAAATAAGATTCATCCACAAATATATAAAAATAAATGTTTAACATAACTAGCAATTATAGAATGCAAATTTAAACTACAGTGAGATTTAATCTCACTCCAGTCAGAATGACAATTATCAAGAATATAAGAAACAGTAAATGTTGGTGAGGATATGGGGGGAAAGGTACACTCACACAATGCTGGTGCGACTGCAAACTGGCGCAACCACTAAGGAAAGGAGTATGGAGATTCCTCAGAAAACTTGGAATGGAGCCATCATTTGACCCAGTTATCCTACTCTTTGGCATATACCAAAGTAATTAATATCAGCATACTACAGTGACACAGCCACATTAATGTTTACAGCAGCTTAATTCACAATAGCTAAACTACTGTGCCCTTCAACACATGAATGGATAAAGAAAATGTAGTATATATACACAATGGAACATTACTCAGCTACAAAGACAAATGAAATTATGGTATTTATCTGTTAATGTATGGGACTGGATTCTATCATGCTAAGTGAAATACGCCAATCCCCAAAATCCAAAGACAGAATGTTCTCTCTTGTATGGATCTACTAACTTACAATAAGGGGGCAGGGATAGGGAAGAATAAAAAGTTTATTGGATTAGACAAAGGGGAGAAGAGAATGGGCATGGGAATATAAAAGACAGTAGAATAAATCGGACATTACTATCCTATGTGCATTACACAACCAGAGTAATATTACATCATGTACAACCAGTAGAATG